TATTTTTATCGAATAAGCTTTCAAGGGTTACCCAGCGATTTTGGTGAAGTTACTGCTCAAGATTTCCTAGTTTTCTACCCTGTCGCGAAACCTCGAATTGGAAGGAAATTCTGACCCTCAAAAAACAGGTGTAAATTTCATTGGAAATTTTGTAATAAAGTTTCCAAACGCTCAGGCTCGCAGGGAGGTCGTATGGCTCCACGAAAGAGAGGGCGTCGTTAAAAGAATTTCCTAAAAACATTAACGATAGGGTTGACTCTGCTTCTGAGTTGTTTTCACATATCAGCCTGCAGCATTTCAAGGGAATGACCTTGAACCAGGAGGATTGGCCACTCTTGCATAGGCTTAGAGGTAGAGGAGGCCTAGGGTAAATGACCGGATGCCAGAAATTACTAGGATGTGAGCATGATGTATGGGATGGAGAAGGGCGCAACTCGCTCTCATCAAGGGTACGCTCAAAATGAGTCCGTTACCTTATCTTATCTTGGTGATGGAGAGGCAAAAGGAGTGTTCTCAAGCACTGGGGTAAGATAACTAAGGAGTGTTGTTGCGAATCGATGGGTCCAGGAGAGAACCTGCGGGTGGCCAAGGGTAGCCAAGGGTGGAAACCGGGTAATTTGTACAAACGTGAGCCTTAGCAACAAAACCATAAGGGGCTCCGCGGTGACCGCTTACTTATAAATGAACTAAGGTGTAAAGAGAACCAACAAAGTGACTAGAGTGTAACGACCCAATAAACAAACAACCTTTGGGGTTTCACCCGTATTGCTACACTACGCGAACACAGAACTGTTAACCTTTTGTGATCCTAAGTTATTTTTTAAGGAACTAATAAAACCACTTTCAAATGTTAGTAAACGCTAAATAAGGAACTAAGTCACGTCGGGTCGCTTTCCTTCGACCCGCCGATTGACCACACTGAATTTGGACTAGGAATAACATCAGCGAATTTAGTTCTAAGGGCTAACGCCCTGCGAGACTGCCGAACGAGAGAGCGAAGGGGAAGAACCGTGAAGACGTAACGGAACACCGGGCCGGCCGTGATGGTGCTGTTGCGAACAGCCCGTGCGTTGCCGCACGATCACGGATAGATCAGGCTGGGTCATGTCGGCAGTACTTCGCAGGCGCCGGCGCGCCCAGGGTTCTGTTGGAGCGATCGACGTGTCACGCGACAAGTGCCCTCCTCCCTCAAACTCAATTTTTATCCATTATTCTCAAACTTAATTTTCACCCATTATATTATTCACACATTTGTCGATGGTGTTTGCTTCTGTAAACCCCTGGAAAATACGGAAATTCATAAGAAGGGCTTACTTCACAAGCGAATATCTCACAGTTCTCCTAGCAATTTCTCGGTAACAACAAGGAGTTTGATTTCTTCAAGGAAGGTGCTTTCCTGCTGGGTCCAGTACTGCACAAGGGGATGGTACAATTAATTCAAATTACCAGTGAATCTCATGTTGGATGCCGTCGGCAACGTTCTGAGTTTTTTGTTTCTGACCAATCCCATTGCAAGTCTCCCTCTGTAAAGCGGAAACGTATTGGCATAATATTATAAGACAGTCACAAAAAACAGTAGTAGTTCACCTGCGATAATTGTGGGCAAGTTTTGCCCTCGCCCTTGTTGAATCGACCATGCCAGAGTTTCCTGGACATATCTGGTTGTCTAAAATAAGAATAAGAGGAGGAATTTGCCAAATGAGGGAGCATGCTGTTGACATGTTCCTTCAAATGTTTCTCTAAGGAAACTAACTAGGGTTAGCAGTGGTCGTGGACTCAGAAGCAGTTGTTGTTTCACCCGAAGCGGTCGTTGACTCCGACGAAACCGAGCCCGAAGCAGTCGTTGACTCCGATGAAACCGAGCCGGCAGCAGTTGTCGTCCCCGATGAGGCCGAAGCCGTGCTCGAAGCAGCCGTTGCTCCCGACGAAGCCGTGCTCGAAGCAGCCGTTGCTCCCGACGAAGACGCGACCGTCGTTGCAGCAGCACTCGAAGTAGATGATGAGTTATTTGATCCAACTTGCGACAAAACTATAGGATGGTTCACCTTCAAATATGTCTCCATTTGCTAACGGAACTATTTCATACCAAAAATGGAGGTCTTACCATCAACATCGCAAGTAACGGCAGAAGTGTTACTCCGAGCATGGCGGGAAAAAGTGAGGTGACTTATTCTGATTTTTGGCCCGTTTTTATATGCGCGTGCATTAATGATCACTTATATCGACCTTGCCTAACGAACAAAAGTGTGAACATAATAATTTTCAAACAGGCAAGGTATTAAAAGGTCTGATGATGAAAAAACTATCTAGGATGTGGTGCTTCGATTTCACATCAGTTTTTAGACTGTCACCAACCAGCACGAAAATATCGAATTTTGAAATGCGTAAGCGGTTGAAGCTATGCACAATAACACACTTACACATCATTTTTTCGTTATTTACATTTTAAAATTTGTTTCTTTCACCATTTGTACGTTCCTTTGAATACGGTGAGAAACTCGAAATGGCATCATAAGGAGCTGAATGAGCAGGAACTTTTGATTCATTACGCTATTCCCAATGATGGGTCAACCAGCCAGAAGAAGCTCAGACAATTTGGACGAGGAGGTAACACCTAGCAATGGGAGAGAGGGGATGAGTTGTCAGCTTAAGAACCCCGCGACATTATCGCTGATCAGTGGCGAAGATAGCGTAGCGCCAACAGCAAACATTAATGCGTGAGATAATGTACCGAAAATTATTCATTTTAGTCCTCTGTCTCTTGCTAGCTCGATGCTGTGAAACGAGCCTTGTTCGAGGCCATGAGGAGAATGACGAGAACGTTAACCTGAGTTTTCATCCTCAAATGACAACTATCAGGAAGTTGCTCTTCACGAATTATAGCCAGAGGATACATAAACTTGCAAAACCTTCCTAACTTTACACCACATGGATGCGCATGGCGCATCCTGGCGCAGTATGCTTTTTGTGCTCCAATTTGATTCGTACCGACCGGAAACATGTTTTGCTGTACGGCACAGCAGCTCTGCTTCTGATATCAGCCTGCAGCATTTCAAGGAAATGACCTTGAACCAGGAGGATTGGCCACTCTTGCATAGGCTTAGAGGTAGAGGAGGCCTAGGGTAAATGACCGGATGCCAGAAATTACTAGGATGTGAGCATGAT